ATATATATATATATATATATATATATATATAAAATAGGGTGTCCGGTAACAAAAGAGCTGCTGTGTACAGGTAGATCAGGTCAAATAGAACAAAAAATTCCTTTACCATTTTGCGAATAACACGCGTAAAATTCTAAATTATTAATAAAAATTAATTCGTAAATGATTACGCGTTGTACGGTACATGAGTTGTGATGTCTACTTCTGCATATATGCTTGTATATTAGGTTAAACTGAAAAAAGCCCTTTATCATTTTCCAACGTATATATGTAATTATTAATTAAAGAAAATTGGCGTACAGTTGTGCACAATAATGCACTAATCTTCTTTAATTAATAATTAAATATCTACATAATTATTTGAAAAATGGTAGAGGACTTTTTTGTTTAATTTGACCTAATATACTAGTATATAGTGATAAAGTGTATGACGTTTGATTGTTCATGAATTTTTTTTATTAATAACTCCAAATTTTACGTAGTTCGCAAAATAGTAGAGTATTTTTTGTTTTGTTTGTGTGTGTGTGATTTAATCTACCTGTATACCACGGCTGAGTTACTGAACATCCATATATATATATATATATATATATATATATATATATATATATACACATACATACACATAAACAAACACATATATACATACATAAATACATACATATATACATATATGTTCATGTGTATATACATGTATATATGTATATATGCATGTGTGCATATTTTGTACATATATTGTGTGTGTATAAATATATATATATATATATATATATATATTATATACATTCTATTAAAAAAAAAACACTCTTGACACATACGATTTTCGGATGAGATGGACATTCTGTTCGCGAGTTACTGTGAGCCACGGAGTTACCATCGATATGATTTATTCCGGAGTATGTAGAAGCGTTATGTAGAAACATACGTGTATTTGTGTATGTGTAAATATATTTGTAGTTCAAGTGATATATAAAAGTAAAAGTGACGCAGCATACATTGACTTAGTATATTTTGGCAGTGCTATATTATACATAGTACGAGATATATGTATTGATAATTCGTAAACATAACGTTCGTCATATTTGAAAATACCACAATTATTTAGTGAGCGACGATTGCAAATTGCGTGTATGATAACGCGTTTTGTGCAGCATTGGAATAAATCATGCCGATAGCGTTTTGTGCAGAATTGGAATAAATCATGCCGATAGCTCGCGTATAGCCGTTGATAGATAAGTTACTACTTGTTGCCATGTTATAAACAAAAAAATAACTTTGTTATACGAAAGAGAGAAGGAGAGAGAGATGATTTTCTATGTTGACACTGTTAGGAAAGTACTCGAAGAAAAGGAGAAAATAAAAGAAAGATGAAACAAAAGAAAAAGAGATTGTATACTTGCAAGCGGAAGCTAACCCTTGTCTGAGATGGCTGATATTTGTTGTGTTTTTAAGAGTTTAAATAACAGCGTTTTTATTACTTCACATTGTCTCCGCATGCTTTGATATAATGCATATATATATTGTATTTAATATTATCCATTGTGCACTACTTCTTGTCTTAAGTCTACTCATTTAACACATTGTGATTTATAGAAAAGCATTAATATACACATGTATAAATATATCGCATATATTTATTTTGCAGGACGTGATTTTTCTCTTTTTTTTAATATTATTATTATCAATCATATATTAGCGTTAGATATATATTTGTTACAGTTAATTCGTAAAGTCTATTGTAACTGTTTTCCTCTTGATACATATAAAACAAATATTTTGCTTGCATGATCACTGTTAAATGAGTACACACCCATAATTTTCTGTATTAATATATATACATATATATATATATATATATATTTATTTATTTATTTATACGAAACAGAACAGTACGTGTATATGAGGTACATAGTATCGTTGACGCATATTTTCAAGGAGCCATTATTTATACGTGTGTGCGATTTCTTTAAGACTAGTTCGAAATCTTCCACTATTTTAAGTCACGAGTCAGACAGAGCGTAGTAGTCGCGTATAGTACACTATTCTTCTGGGCGACTTGGAAGTGTGCATCGACACGCGCGTGTCTTAAAGCACACTGCTTGAAGCAGTTAGCGCCACATACGTGGAGTTATTTACAGGACACTCGATAAAACTCTAAAAGGGAGAGAGAGAAAGGGAGAGAGAGAATGAGACAATGAGAGAAAGAGAGACACGTTTCACTTTATTTATTACATTTTTCGACAGATTTTATAAGAAAGACTTATGTATGTAGAAATAAAGGAGTGTAAATACCGACGTGGGAGAGTATTCTTGCGTTCCCAATGATAGCAGCTATTCGCCGTCGACACAGAGAAAGAGACACATAGCGAACAAACACATACACGCACAATACGAATACGCGGACACGCATGCGAAATGTGCATAGTAGACTCTGTCTCGATTGTTTTCAGATAAAATAGAAACATACGAAGACGTAGAAGCGGAGACGGCGCAAATCAGGAAGGAGACGCAGGAATCGCTGGAGCAGAGTTTCACTCCGAGCTTGGCGCGCAGGCTGAGCAGGCAGTTGATCGAGCAGACCCGACAGTCCTTGCCGTGCGACAAATATTATCAGTCGCCGACACGAGAGACCCTCAGCTTAATGGCGTCGACGGGCGAGATCGCGAAACGTTACTCCACTACGTCCGCGACTTCCGATCAGACCGAATACAGAGGTAGATCAGTCGATCGCGGTATCAGACGCACCAACAGTCTGCTAGAGCCGGCCAAGCAGTTCGACCGGTTCGAGCGGTATTCACCGCGACGGAGCATCAGCCTGCTCGACGACCACGAGGCACATGGACTGTTGCCACCGTTGCCGAAGCACATCATGACGCTCGGCCGAAAGTACAAGGAATCGGCCGCCAAGTCGAACGCGAGTGTCATCGTGGGCAATGCGCGGCGCGACAACTTCCTCGGCTATAGAACTACGGAAAAAATCCAGGAGGAGCCAGTCGATGACATGGTGTACGCCGCGTGCAAAGAGGAGGACACCGACGCTGACAACAATGTGGAAAACGGTTCCCTCTCAGAGACCACGTCGATCTCCGTATGCAATTCGAATGCGAACCTCATGGACACCACCACAACGTCTAGCGTGTCGGCCAAGTCCTGCGAGACGTCACCCACGGAATCGTCGTCGAATTTAGGCGACTACAGCAAGTCGTTCTCCGTGTCTAAGTCCGACGTCGCTTCGCGCAGTTTCGAAACTCGGCTGTTGGCTGCGGAGAACCTCATCAAGGAATCCAAGCTGAAGAACTTTACGCCACAGAGATTCAATCCGAATCTCATCTCCAATTACAAGGACATGGACAAGTGCGACAAAGAGGCGCTGATTACCGCCGCCGCCTCCGCCGCGGAACAGTCGGTCAATTCCGTCGCGTCCAAGAGACGCAGCTGCATTCCAAGTTTGCGGTTGCGTTCGGGTTCGTTAACGAGAGAATCGAGCGTCAGCTCAGATCGCAGAAAATCTTTCGCAGGCTCGCCGGACGCGTTAACCGGCGCGACTCAAGAAAGATCAATACTCAGCAAGTTCTTCAAAGGCGTCGGCAATAACAAAGACGAGCCAAAGGACAACAAAAATCAAAAGGCGAAGCAGCATCGCATCTCGCGCTTTTTGCGACCGGACTTCTTTGATACGCCGCGGGAAGAAAGCCAGTATGTGAAGGAGAAGGAGGCACAGAAAGCGGCAGAGAACGAGCGGCGCAAGTCAAGATTCATGAAACGAAAAAGCGAGAGCAAAGAGCGTAAAGAGGAAGGTAAGGAGGAGAGAACCTGCAAGGAGCAGAAGGACGAGATAAACGTGTTGCAGAAGGACAAGCTGGAGGCAACTGCTTCATCAGACGATAGATTCCGAAACGAGGAGAAAGAGCGAGCAAAGGTCGAGCAACAAGGTTCTAAAAAGAGCTTTTTGCATTTGCTGGAGAAAAAGCTAGAACGACTGCGTTCAAATGATGAGACGGTGATGACGACAAAGCAACCGACAATCAACGGCAGCGGTCTGGTTGCAGCCAGTGAGCGGAAAGAACACAGACTACGCGAAAATTCCGCACCACCCGTTGAATGTCTGTCGCCGACCGCGACGGAATCTAGCTTGTTGAAGCGAGCGTTAAGCGTGGAGGATTTATCGTTGGGCAAAGACAAGGTGAAGAGCGCGTTGAAGACAGCTGGACGGGTGACGTCGGTGTTGAGTATCTTCAAGAGCGCGGATGCGAAGCAAAATGCGAATGGCAATCGTGCGCAGAACACGATTGTCAGCAAGTTGAAGAGAAGTCCGCCAAAGTTCGCGAAGGTTGAGTCGGAGGAAGACGCGGCCGCGACTACCAAGATACCAACCAAATTCGCTGGTAAATCGATGAAGAATAAGGTGCCAGAGAGCAAAAGATCGCCAGAGAAGATCGTGAACGACTATAAGAGGTCACCACCCAAGGAAAAACCAAAGGAATTGATTTCTAAAGAGAAGAAACTTCTAACAGCGAAGCAATCGAGAGAGATTAAGAAAGTCCCGGAGAAAATCGCGCCGTCGGACTCGTCGTCATCCTCGTCTGCGGAAAAGACGAAACTGGAAAAGGCAAAGTTGCCGAAAAAATTACCCGATGATTCGGAATCCCTGCAAAAGAGCAACAGGCACTTGGAGTCCGTCATGAGCAGCGAAGATAAGAAATTGATGAAGACTAAGAAGAATATCGGTTCACTGAGCAAAACCGAGTCTGCTTCGAGAGTTGACAAAGACGAAGACATGGATAAGAATATGAAGAAGCCGATGAAGTTGAAGGAAGCTGTAGACAAGGACGAGATCAATGATGCTAAGAAGAAGAAGAAGATAGTGCGCGTCGTGAGAAAGGTCGTGAAGAAGTCGTCCGACAGTTCTGAGAGTAAGTCTGATGAGAAGGAGAAAACATCGAGGCCATCGTTGTTAAAGAAGAAGATCATGACGACGAAGAAAGAGAAGAGTCCTGAAGGCGCGAATATAGTTTCAGCTTCGAACTCGATCAGAGGAAACAATATCGACGATCAGACTTTATCTATGAAATCTCTTTCGAGGCAGACGGAGCCGAACGTTCCTCCATCACAAGAAACGTCATCTGCGAAGTTCGATCACTCTGATTACTTTGCACAAAATATGAATACAACATCCAAAAGCGATATCGTGACGAGCCACACTTCATCGAGTAAATCTAACGCGAAGATGACGGTCGACGATATCTTGCAGACAAATCCCGTTTGCCAGACCGCGTCTACGTTTCAGAATTATTCAGCCGAGTCGACTCAGAATTCTTTCGGTTCCATAACTAAGAATACGTCGAATTCCAACGTCTGTCAGACTAAAACCTCGGAACAGTATCGATCTAACAGGACAGGTCTGAAGCTCGACTTGTCCAAGATACCTCAACATACCTTTAAGCACACGACTCCCAAGAGGGACTCGCCCAAGTCAGACTCGCCGAAAGCGAATTCCACCGCTTGCATCGGTTCGTCCAAGACGGATATTTCTCTTTCCGAGAGCAGCGCTGATAAGCTAATGGAGTGTCTATCAAAGATGACGCATCACGCCAACATAACTGGCAACAAAATCATCATCGATAAGCCGCTGCGAGCGAAGGACGTGGCTGAGCTGAAGCGAGAAGTCACCGAGTGTGCTAGAATCATAGAAAATCACATAGAATCGCAAAATGATCGCGCCAGCCCGCAAACTGTCATCGAGAGCATCGTCGACTCGGGCGAACCAACCGACATCGAAGACAAGCTGCGAGAGATCTCATCGGATTCTTCTAGGGAGATCAATGAGACGGATAACGTTAAGGTAGCGAAAGAACCTGAGGTTAGCATCAGCGAGATGTTCTCGCCTGAGGAACCTGAGAGCTTCGACTCCTGGTCGATTTGTTCGGCTGATTTGAATTATAATCGCGGTGACCTGCACTCGCCGACGTCGCCCTCGTATTCTTTGCTCGCGCGTGGCGACAGTTCGGAATCTGTTATAGATCGGATACGAAGACGTAGCTTCTATTCGAGGTTCAATGACCGGAAAAGACCGTCCTTAACGGCTCCACCGCCTGGAGTGAGTAGTGTGACACTATCTAAAAGGTCCAGTTTCAACAGTTCCAGAGAGTGGGCGCGCAATAGATTGCACGGCTATGGAATTCCCAGAACAAGGTAAAGATTAAATAGTTTTTTCATTCTCCGACCATCCCATTCAGACATGTTCATGCATAAAATATTGTCTGCAAGATATTAATAAAAATGTTAACTAAAATCGTACTTTTTGACAATATCATGTTTTAAAAATAATAATTATTATTGAAAATAATTATTATATGATGTATTATACTATCGCGCAAATAATAATAATATAACAATGATGAGACAATTCAATTGGAGATCTTTTAATTAATAATTGATTTTAATAAATTTAATCGAAGATCGTTCGATTGATGAATGATGATTGGTTTCATTGAATTCAATTAAAAAGCACTTAATTGACGATTGATATATGAGCAAATTTAATAGATTAAATTGAAGATTATTCGATGACAATTGATATGACTATGCTACGATGCAAAGATACTTTGTATATGAATATTATCCACAAAACCAATTGTAACGTTGAATAATGGAACGCTCTTTGATTAAATTTGCTCGTTAATTAATCGACGATTAAACTCCCTTTAATTAAATTTGCAAAGTCTAATCGTTAATTCTATGGCTTTTTAAATTAAACGATCCTTTAAATTAAATTTGCCAAGTTCAATTATTCATTAAATATTCTTTAATTCCCTTCGCTGATATCAATCGTCAGTTGAACCATCTTCAATTGAATTGGGTGATCGATTATCAATGAATTGAATTGAAACATGTTTGTTTAAATCAATTGTTACATTGAGAAAAACGTAATTGATATTTTTACAACTTTGTAGTAATAATTATTATTCATTATTCTATAAGAATAATTATTTATAAAAACGCTGAATTAATCAAATGATTGTTTATTGATACATTTATTGCGTATAAAAATAGAACAGGGCAAAAGTCGAAAACTACGCAATTAAATTAGCACGACAGAAATAATTAAGAATTAGGAAAAAAGTTTGCAGATAAATTTTTATTTCTTACTCTTTCCTCATTTGTTTATTTTTTTCGCAGGACAGATAAGAGTTACGGTCTGTACGGCGACGATGTGACCTGTAGGAAGTCTCCGGTCGACAGAGAGAGATATAGCGACTCCTTGAACATGTCGTCATTGTATGATCATCACAGTTCAGAGGTGCGGTCCATTTACGATCATTACGGCGGCTTACAGTCTTCCTCACACGATTCCTTGAGAAGATACGTAAGATCGCCGACGTTGGATCTTGCCGCTGCTCGTACTAAATATCACAGTGCAGACATCATCACCGACAACGATATCGTAAGCTCGTATAAGAGCCCTGTATCGAGATCTTCTCTTAACGACGCTGTTGCGAACTCCTACTGCAGCAGGAATATCTCAGCGACTTTGCCAAGAAAGTACGGCTCTACTGTCGGTAGCCTAGCGCCGAAGAGCGTGGAGTATTACGAGGAAATCTTGTCGCCAAACAACTCTGACTATCTGTCGCCGCTATCAGATAATTACCTGAGCAGGTATGAGAACGGCTATCATCACAACGGCAACCTGGATCTGCCGCAATACAATGCGGATAAGCAGAGGTCTTACATGGATAAGATGGCGGATGTGGAACTCGGTGAAGGAAACAGCAGATTGCTCGGTGAACAGAAAAGGTACAAATAAAAATTGTGCAAATCTTTATAGAGGAAAGGAAAACGCACACGAATGTGTGAATTTTAGGACATTTTGTATAAGTTCTTTTAAATATCGTACAAAAACTGTGGTTATATAAAGGACTTTTTTCAGAAATGTGAAGAAACGTCTTAGCGAAACGAGAGATATATCTTCGACGACTGCCGATATCTTGTCTAATTTAGCGGTTGCCGAACAGAATCAGTATCTCTCGGACGGAAAGTAATTTAGGAATATAAGGACATTATCGAATGCGTCTTACTACTGTAGCGATTTTATAATACGGATATATCGATGAATCGTGTCTGAGTGTCTTGCGCTATCTTTATCATGACGATGATAATAGTCAGCGACGACAATGAGAACGGAATGAACTGTTAAACGGTTCGAGGTCTACGTCTTGAAAGTTTCAGGACTATACGTTTTAAATATACGCTTTAAATTTTAGTTTTAAATATACGTTCTAATTCTTTCCGATTATCCAACGATTCTAATTCAAATATTGTTTATTACATCTTGCGTGAATTTTTCGCCTAAAACGCAGAATTAACAGAAAACTAGAATCGACCCTCTTTATAACTTCGAATCGGAAAGGATTAATCGAAAGAGAGAAACGCGGCTTAATCAAAAGAAAGAAATGCTTCATCGATTATAAGAATTTGCTTTTGAAATTTCTTTGTATCTTATCTATAGAGCGAAAGATGATTCGATATCAAAGACATGCGCATCTATTTAAATTGAGAATCTCTGACTCCAATATTTATAGAAATATAAATATAAAAGTCGGCAGCTAATTAGCAGAAGAATAACGTCGTGAGCTTCGTTTCGTTCGATGCTGCAAGTCTGACACGTCTTCAAGTTCACGAGGTATCGTTCAAAATCTCGCATTTCACGTCATTCTCTTCGTCAGTCTAATTCGCGTTCGAAAATGTCGACCGTTGTAATGAATTTAAATCGTGTGCACGTAGCGTTTTCGTTTTTCGTGAAGTAAAAAAAAAAGAAATATACCGGATGGTCTGTCAGTCCGCATAATCATTGCCATAATTGTGTTCACGGTATGTCACGAGTGAAAATGATTTTTGGATTTCTAGTAGAGCTCTGTAAGTAAGCGAATCTTTCAAAGCAAGTCCGCGTGAAGTGAATTGTCGATGATCCTCGATAGCGTGATCGACGAATAACGAACCGTTCGAAGTGACACTTTAGGGTGCAATGCCAGACTTAGTAGAGAAGAAACAACGAACGGCGCTTTAGTTCCTTGTACTATTACGAGTACCGCCTTATATTTATGAGAATAATTTCTGGTTTGACCGATCGGAAATTATGAAAGAAAGTGAGAGAGAGAGAGAGAGAGAGAGAGAGAGAGAGAGAAACTCAAGAAAACGAGAAATGAAACAACGATGTTACCGGCCTGGCAAACTTCTGACTGATCAGCCATGGTCTTCCGCTTGTTATGTATGTGTTTTCTATTGATATACATATTTTAAAATAAATATCAATATCTATATATTATATCAAGTATATTAAATACGTCACTACTATGATGTTTTCTTCGCCCGCTTAGTGTGAACATTCTTTGAGCAGCTATATTGGATGTTAAATGTAAGGTTGCTATCTCATGGACTGATATTTTCCGCGTAACTAATTAGAGACCGTTCCGCGTTTTTGTTACATACGTATAAATCGCATAAAGTTATAGCATATTACGTCTTTTTCTATAAATCTTATACAGAGTGTTCTATAAATTTTATACAGAGTTTCGGATTCTCCTCCGCATTTTTTGTGAGAACGTAGAATGGATTGAAGTGAACATAAAAGTCCTATACCGTTTTGCGATATTTGCAGTAATAACCAAGAAATTAATTCTGAAAAATTAATGAAAATGACAAAGGTGAATGTGTGACAGAGGAAGGAGCGTTCGAGCCACAGTAATATAACGCGCGAATGTTGGCGCGCTGCGATTGAAAGAATAACGTGCCACTGCCTGTGCTTATATAACTGTGCTCTTATGTGTCACCTTGGCGCGGTGCGGCGAGACATCTATATATATATATATATGTGTGTGTTTACATGCAATTTTTTTATTTGTATTTATTGCATCGGTGTACATCGATTCATATATTTTCTCGGAAAATAACATCTCATCTTTGACTATGTTCAATCAACATTTATTATGCAGGGAGAGTATCTGTAAGTATAATTATTTATTTTAATTAAAAATTGGCCGCGTTACTCTTGTATCGTTACTTTTTTAAGGTTGTTCTAAATTAGTTGCAAGCCGATCGCAAGCAGACGCAATTTTTGTTGCGACAGCCAATCAGAAGCGTCAATAGCACCACTGACTTCTCTTCTACTACACAACTTTGTTAAAGACATGGTATGTTGAGTATATTTTTCAACATGTAATAGTTGAATGTATATTACAAAGTATATAAAGAAGAATTAAGAATGAGATTATTTTTGATCATTAAAAACTAACTGGATTTAAATATTCAAATCAGTTAGTATTAAAATTTATAAAATATTATTAACAAATACAGATTTAAATAGTTATGTTATCAGATATATATTACATATTAAATTTTATAGTATTTTCTTTTTATATTTTTGTGTAGTAAATTCTTCACACAGTCCTTGCATTACTTTTTGCAGTTATTATTTCTAATACTTCATTTAGTCAATCATAGTTTGGTCTTCAATTATCACAAATTCTTAAATAGCAATTTTAAAACTAAATACAACACCTACTTGTATAGACCTACTTGTATAACACAAAAATATATTTTAATTTCTAACAGTTCAATATTCTAAATGTTATTGCAGATAAAATTTAATATTTTGACAATTACACTTGCCCCGGAGAAATTTTCGTCTACTGTTAATAAATTTCGAAAACTTGCTTAGCCTTCTGGAGGACCGGCTATTTTTTTATCGACTTTTTTATTTTACGAGCTAGAACTTTTTTGTCAATGTCATTGAATTGAATGAAGAAAAAGCTGATACCGCCGTCGCGCCGATATATCAGCTTCCGGTCCTCCAAAGGTTAAACTGTGTATAAAAAGACAAACATTTTTCTAATACATGAATTCATAAATCTATCTTTATGTAATTCTTAATATTATGATTATAAACTGTTATTAACAAATATTTCTTTATATAATAGAAGATGATAAGATTAGATGATAGAAGATGATAACCGTTGGCGAAATTAAGTCATGCAGATGCAACGGCAACTATCAATGTCAAAAAAGGGCGATAATATTCGATTAAGCATTATAAAAAAACATGTTCATATATTTTTAATTATTACATAATTAAAAGTTCATTAAATGAATACATAAATTTGTATATGCTTTGATATATCCCATCTTCTGCAAATACTTACATACACATCAATGTATAATTTATATAATTTAGAAGAAACATTATCTAATATAATCCTAGTAAACTCTTTTTACAAAATCGATCTTTTTTTAAATCGATCGTTCAACATATTTTAGAAAATTGAAATTCAAAGAAAACTCCGTTTTTCATTTATAAATATGAAATAACATTTAAGCTGTCTTGCTTTTCGCAGAGAATCTAGTTGCTATGGAATAAGCATATGGAAAATTATGTACAATTATGTACAGTATCCCCAAGTACAAAATTATGCCGATCGTAAGAAAGAGATCAAACACAGCAGGCTTTACACTGCAATAAAATAAAAATAATTATGCATATAATTGAAGAGCTTATTTGTATAAAAATATTATTCATTATATATTACAAACATATATATATATACATATATATATATATATATATATGTGTGTGTGTGTGTGTGTATGTATATATAAATATATTTTTTACCTATATACATTCAAAGTTGCTTTTGCAATATTGTAGAATACAAATTCTGGATCTCGTTTATCAGGAGTGTGCAAAGTAATCTTAATATCTCCCAAATATCTTGCCATAGCTTCTTTTAAAGTAGTGACTAGTAAATTATGTTTATCTGCTAGTAGAGATGCTGCTCGTGGTTGAGAAGCAAAATAATTGAACCATAAGGATAACGATTCCTTTGAAACATCCTATAACATGAGATTTTAACATGAGATATCTCTATATAAATACATGTATTATTACATAAATATTACTCGCCTTATATTTATTAAACATTTATAATTATTAAACCTAAAGAAATCTAAAATAAATATATATGATACAAGTTAAAAAAAAAATATAAGGATATTAAAAAATAATCTCTAATATACTTTAATATATACTTTTTTGAAAATTTCAGATAGCCATGGTATGTAGGTAGAGCAGGTCAAACTGAATAGAAAAATCATGCCATTTTATAAATTCCATAATGGTTATTTAGGAACTGGTTAAACTGTATATGCGAATGAGTACGTAAAAAATAGTAGGACGAATTTTGTAGGTACAGTCTTAGATAGCTACTAAGATAGCTCCAATCTGTTAACGATTTAGCAACAAGTGTTAGATATAGAAATATGTAATTTAGTATCACGCGTCGCCTATTGTTGTCGAGTAATTGTCAACAGATTCAAGCCATCTTGGGTGAGACATATATGCACACATACACTACGAATTTAGTAATAAACATACCAAGGAATCAGCGAATATTTGACTGGAACTCAAGTTATATATATGGCGCGCTAATGCTTCAGAGACAACTTGAGTATGTTTGTACAACTTATCTATTTGTCCATCTCTAGTGACATCTAATATAGTAGTTCTAGATGGATCTTCGTGACTTTTTAATGTAGATAGAGTCGCAGCTGGCAATCTTCGAATACTATATCTCTCATGTTCCCAAGCTAATATTTCTTCTGCAAGATTTATCTTCTTATGCACGCCTTCAACATTGACAGCATATGACTGTGACACAGCTTTAAGTTCTTTGTAAAACAAACCACCGGATGAATTTTCTTTAGGCGGTTTCGACACATGTATATATAAATTATCACTTGCAGAAACTGTGTCAAGGCATATTACGTAAGCCGCATCCTACATTTCAAATAAATATAATTTTATATTCAAATATTTACATTGTATTATATGAAAAATAAGGATTTACAGAATTAAGATAAGACTTTTAGTTTCTTATTATGATGACAAACATTATGTAAGAAATAAAATATTACAATTTTTTTTCTTATGTTGTGAAAATAAGTTAGCATTCCTACATGTTGAAATCATAAATCAAAGTAACTCAGTGTTCCTACATGCCTGTATGATAGATCCTTCAAGACTGTCCAATTGATCCTCCAACCATTTCTTACTACCCTGATAATTTAATTTACCAGCTCCAGTTACAATAAAAACAAGATTATATTGTGGCCTTGATCGACCAATAGAATATAAAGCAGAGAACAATCTTGCTATTTCTAGGAGCATGGATATACCAGAAGCATTACTGTCTGCACCAAATGACAATTCCTACAATGACAATAAAATGTACCACATCTTATTTAACATAATATATACATGATTGATTTTTATAATTGTTAAGTATTTTAAATAGTATTCGATAAGACTTACAGGTGCTATACCAGCACTATCATAATGTGTCACTATTGCTATTGTAGGTAACTTTTCTTCAGCACCAGTACCAGTTAATTTACCATGCAGAGTGGCAACTTTAACATCTGTTTTAGGAAGTGCTTGTCCAGATGCTACTACTACCTGATAACCACTAGCAGAAATTGAATTATACATGGCTTCTGCTGCTGAACCAGCTTTTTCATCAGTAATAAAGCCATCTGCGATATCACTTAGGATTGTTTGAAGATCTGGATGCCACAATACAAAATATACTGGTATCATTATTTCAGAACTGTACATCATAGACACTTCCAAATTCATAATGTGCTAAAATGAAAATAAGACAGCTAATAAGTGTATCTTGTAATATATTAATTATATTATTAATTAATAGATTATTTATTTATAGATTATAACTATTAACTTTAAGATTCACCTGCTTTTGTTCCACTGTTAGCTCATTCAATCTTTCAGGTAAAACAATTACCAATGCACCAGCTTTACTTTTAATAGACTGGAAGAAAGATGGAGTGATATCTAGAGCTTTCGCAACTACGCAATGCCTGGAAGTACTCCATCCAGTCAATGATCTTGCCTCTAAGGAAATAGGTGCATTACGGCAACCTAAAGTAAATTGTTATTTATATGTGTAACTTCCTGATAACTTTTATATATATGCATACATACATATGTGTATATACATAATTAAATGTATATATAATTTAAAAAAGCCAAATCTTTTTAAATATTTATATAACATACAGATATAAATATTATTATACATAATTAAATCAAATTTATACTTTCTTAAAAAAAATATATATATATATTAGAAAAAAGATATATATTGCAAGAAATACTGGTAGATATTATAAGTTAGTAATGTAAAATTTAATTATATCACAAAATATATTTTAAAAAAGATTTACTAAAAATCTTAGAAAAAATATTAAATATGATGTTATACAACTTTTATGTATACAATTTTTATGCATAATGTATTCTTTGTGTATAAATTATGGAAATATAATCTAAGAATTATAGAAATACATATAATCTAATAAAAAGTTTTTACTATACTAAAAAAAATAATTTATATTTTTTATAAAATTGTTTAAAATACTTATAACCAAATTTTGGCAAATATATAAAAGAGCATATTAATTTTTCGAAATTTATTTTTATATAGGAATAAAAATATAGTAAAATATAAATAAAAAATGAATAAAAATAATTATAGGAAAAAATACAATTTGTTAAGATATATCCTTGCAAATTTGTAAATAGTTTGATCAAAAATAAAAAATCGTTATATATATGTCTTATAAAATTATTATAAATGAAAATAGCATATTTTACCATGCGGAATCCCATGCAAATCATATTGGTGCATACGATATACGGGAAACTCGTGGGAGGCAGTCACAGGATTGACCGGCGAAATAATGATGAAGATTGGCAAAAATATTAATAAATAGTATGGTAAATATCCTCGACAAAGTTCAGCAAAACTATCACAATCCATTGACCACATGTCTCTATAAAAAAAATAGATTTATTGCCCAGGGAAAAATGAAATGATTGTACAATCTCTTACTGGGTCTACACACAAATTTCTATAATAATCAGAGAGAAACTTAAGAGAGACTATAGTATATAGAGTATTACGTTGGGATACTTTTCCGATGCGCCCTCTGAAGAAGTAGATGTTAAATTCATTTTCGAGTAGTATTTATAGGCCGGTATTCATGGTCGGATCTTGTGGCTCCTGCACACAGGACGCGGTAATGCTTGCCGCGCAGCAAAAGTTCGCGCGACAGCCAATCAATATGCTGCTTTCCGTAATAACCTTCTAGCTCTTACGGAAAAACAACATATTAATTGGCTGTCGCGCGAACTTCCGCCTCGCGGTAAGCATTACCGCGTCCTGTGTGCAGGAGCCATTAAGGTGCTTTTACATAAGAGCGTCGAGCGTTGAGCGTCAAGTGTTGAGCACATGCATAGTAATATATAAGCTACATTCGGAAACGTCACTCGAGTACTCTCCCTCTCTTTTTATCTCACTCATGTATTTCGCTCACTCCAACGACTATCGTCTAGTAGTGTGCACACAGTGTGTGTTTCCGAACGCAGCCATAAGGTGCGTTCGCTTTGAACGCTTACGCGCTTTAAGCGCTTATAAATATCGCTCACGTCGTTTACTTTGGCGCTATAAGCGCTTAGAAACTGCATATTGACATCATGCGTGACGTCATAACTCGCGCTTACATTCACTTCTTCTATCGAGGTAGGACAGTAAAAGCGTGAGCACTTATAAGAGCTTATTTTCCAAAGAGAACGATAAGTTCCGTAACAGTTCTGTGCCATGTGAAACCTACCTATAAAACAACAGAACGGAATAAAAACGGAATTACTCTGATTGGCTGACCCCCATTATATCTCTTTTCCGTAACTGTTGCATTACGCTATTTCTATCTTCATCTGAACGCATCCTTATGGCTCTCGCAGCCAGCGCGATTTGCGACGCGACACGCGATATGCGATGTGCGATATCCAATGAGCGTACAGTTTTTCCGGAATACTAATACGCTCATTGGATACCGTTCGTCGCATATCGCGTCGCGCATCGCACTGGTCTGCGAGAGCCATTAGGCGGAAATTCTTAGCGGAACGAAACGCGCGCACCAATCACAGTTACTCCATTCTTTTCGTGAATAGAATGGAGTAAGGGCCATGGCATACAGAAAAATTTAAGCAGTAAGACGTAAGCAATAAGCAAATTGACCAATCACAGTCGTTGATTCTTTTTACGGTCCAAGAATCAACGACTGTGATTGGCTTACTGCTTACGTCTTACTGTTTAAGTTTTTCTATGTGCCACCAGCTTAAGGGCCGCGACACACAGAAAAACTTAAGCAGTAAGACGTAAGCAGTAAACAAATTGACCAATCACAGTCGTTGATTCTTGGACCGTGAGAAGAATCAATGACTGTGATTGGTCAATTTGTTTACTGCTTACGTTTTACTGCTTAAGTTTTTACACAGAAAAACTTAAGCAGTAAGACGTAAGCAGTAAGCAAATTGACCAATCACAGTCGTTGATTCTTCTTATGGTCCAAGAATCAACGATTGTGATTGGCTGATTCGCTTACTGCTTACGTCTTACTGCTTAAGTTTTTCTATGTGCCACCAGTTTAATTGTGATTGGTGCGCGCGTTCCATTCCTCTAAGAATTTTCGCCTAATGGGATACCGGCCTCAATACAGGAACTCTACATCGTTCAGTAAAGTGGCGGCTTGTAGCGGAGACTTTGGAACTAATTTGCAACGTCACACCCAGAATAATGGGTCTAATGTTTTCCTAGGTCTGGAAGTTGATTGTATATCTGAAAACGGAGTGAAAATGACAAAAGTGAGCAAATTTACTAGAATATTTGTAACTTCATTGTTCAATGCCTAGTGAATTTGCTCACTTTTGTAATTTTCACTTCGTTTCGAGATACACAATCGACTTCCTGTAGGCCTATTCTGTAATTTTTAACGTCGTTGCACAGTTTAACTATATATAGGCTGCGTTCCGAAATGCACTGTCAGTACTAAAAATCTATAGTTCATGTTACCTAAATTATAGAATTTCAGTACTGGCAGTGCATTTTTGAATGTAGCTACAGTTACAACAGTAAAGGCAGAACCTTTAACGTTTGTGTTACCTGATTATGTGACAATCTGCCATGTTGTGGATAGTACGAAAGCGCGTTATTTAAAAATATGAAATAAAAGAAAAATAGTTTAAAAATATATAGTATTTTAACACAAAAGCACCAATTACATTATATCTATTCAATAATATTGCATTCAGAAATATAAATGTTTTATAACATTAAGTTATATAGAATTTATATTATTGTATGCGAAATTATAACATTGTGTAAAGCCAGCGGCATACGATGCTTGTTTTCATGCTGGATTGCTTGCTGGATGGAAATACTCTGTTCTGATTAATGCATTTCTAAAGACGGACCAATCAGAATAGAGTATTTCCATCCAGCAAGCAATCCAGCATGAAAACAAGCATCGTGTGCCGCTGGCTTAACTTATGCTCTTATGTTGATTAGTAAAATACCCAGTACTTTAATGTTATAATATTTAATATTTTACAATTAATATTTACAATTTTAAAATAATTTTTAAAACTACTTTAACGCATTTATTTTCATTGTGTTAACAAGGTATATTGAAATCGTGCATAATGCGTCATTCCTACATAGCTGTGATAATTGTTTTTACGATTTGACAAATTATATTTCATTTTAATAAGCAAAGTATTGAAATAAAATTATTTTCTAAATTATATTTATTTTGGCTTAATGCTATTCCGCTGCATGGGTTTGCATCCTTAGAGTGAAATTACATGCAGAATAAAGCCCGTATCAGACTAAGGATTAAGATTGAGATTGAATTGAAAATTGGCCAACAAAGCAAAATTCACCAAACTTGAGCTTAGTGAATTTTGCTCTGATTGGCTAAATTTCAATTCAATCTCAATTTTAATCTATAGTCTGAAACGGGCTTAAAGTCCAATTCCACAACCTCTAATTAACTGACCGGTTATTTTATTGGACTTGACCATCGCATTTAGCGTTAAGAAGAGTTAATCAGAGTTAATCAGAATAAACCAATCACTGTTGAGACTTAACCGGTAGTTAAAGTTAAACGGAGGTTGTGGAACTGGGCCTAAAAGAGCTGCGGAATAGAGAGTGAGTCATAGAAGCAATCAATCAGCGCTATGCTGCTTTTTGCTGATTGGTTGCCACTATGCGTTGATTGGTTGCTTCTATCACGCACTCTCTATTCCACAGCTCTTTTATACTGGATATAATTTCACCCTTATAACTCCTATCCACAAGACGCGAAATCGCTTGTGCGACAAGAACTGACGCAATATCAATAAACTTCTAGCTTTTATGGAAAAATGATACGTTGATTGGCTGCCGCGTCGCTTCTTGCCGCGCAGCAAGCGCTGCCGTGTCTTGTACACAGGAAATTTCTTACTTACTCAATTAGTGCTCGACCGATATTGAATATTATCCACGAGTTAGTAACGGGAGCGGTTCAAGGGCTCGATTCTTGACGATATGCGAATGAGATACGCATGCGAAAATGTATACTTCATGTCACGTATACTGTAGATTTTCGCATGCCGCATCTCATTCGCACACCGTCAAAAATCAGGCCCCAGTTGCCCATAGTTCATTTTCCCACCCCAATCACAATCACATGTGATCTAGAGATTTTCTAGGGTCGGCCAATTGATGTAGCCTGTGGGTAATTGAACCGTGGGCAATTGATATACACCCGTTGGCAACTCTGATGTCGAACATGAACCGCGACGCGGCAGAAATAACGTACTTTATCAATCGTTTCGCGATTTTTACGATTTTGGTTCGTTAAATGTGAGTTTCGTGTCCGAATCATCACCAAGTGTGCCAAAAGAAAGTCTCGCATATTCGTCGTAATGAAATATCATCAAATATATGCCTGCAATGAACATGTCGCAAAACAACAGCGAGGATTCCGAGAAAAGTGTCTTTGTCGTACCTGTATATCTCAATATTCGGGGTGCCACAATGGAGCAGTAGGGAGCCCAAGTGGTAATGTCAGTGTCAGGATGGTTAGTGTCAGCTGGTCGATCATGAATCTTTTCTTTTAGCGTAAACTCGTGAAATGTAGAAAATTTTCTAATATAAAAACATAGAAATGTTCACTTTTCGTGAGTTCATGAGTTCATGTTGAGGGAAAGATTTATGATTGATAAATTTAATTGCAATGTTAACACGTTCGCTGCCAATTACGAGTATACTAATAGCACAGATATCCAGGGGGATGTCCAGAGTACATTCTAAGAATGCCTTGAAGACGTTTCTATTATCTCAGAACATTTCTGGGACGTCCCCAAGAGATCTTGTGCTGTATGGGCTTGTAGTTGGTATATGAACCTCACAAACCAACTATGAATATACTTGAATGTCAATTATCGATTACAGTACAAGTATATTTCTATTTGGCTTTGTGTGAAGCTCATATACACCAACTATGTACCAACTACGTAGTTGGCAGCAAACATGTTAATAACAGTATTCTACATGTATGATTGCCCAGATAGCACAGAGAATTAAAAAAGAATTCAGTTGTATGTCACCAGTTCTAAATTCACTTTTAGATGCAAAAAGAATTCTTTTCACTGAACTAAATTCTGAAGAATTCTTTTTGCATCTGAAAATAAACTCAAAATTGGTAATATATGCCTGAATTCTTTTTTATCTGGGTATAAAAAAGTCTTGTCACTGATGTGTTGATTGTGTATATCTGGCGGATTGCCAATTCTGTAATTCTGTTCTGTTTTAATTTTTGTAGCTTATAAGTCGACAATGTGTAATGCTACTTTTATTCTAAATAAGTCTTTTGTTACAAATATTTTGATTGCTTACATATTTGGTGAATAGTCAGTTCTGCAATGGTCTGTCATAATTTTCGGAACTTATATCTCGACAACATAGTTGTGCAAAAAACATATATCAAGCCTTGCAATGTGTTTTATTCAGTATATATTTCTTGATCATCTAT